CACAAACCCCATTCCAGCCCTCTGCCAACAGCAGTGACCAGGGACAGACAGTGTCATTCCAGCCCCAAGGATTCCAGCACAAAGGGTGTCTGGAGCAGCCTTCCCCAGCACAGCCGTGGCTTCCCTCTAGCTCTGATGGTGCTCTTGGATCCGTGTCCCATCGTGGGTGGTGTCTGCTCATCGCAGCTGTGCCCTCAGCCCATTCTCCCCACACAGTAAATGGCTGCAAATGTTCTTCTCCACACCCCCAAATAAACCATCCTTTGCTTTTCTGACCACTTTCAGCGCTATGCTGTCCCGGACGGGCTGCAGGACACGTGGCCCSCCTGCAAACCCTGCTGCACCGGGCGGAGATGGGACACGGCAGGTCCAGCCCYGGTCCCCCGGGCCATCCAGCAGTGAGTAATCGCCAGCAGACTGCGGTTGAGGTGCCTGTGTGCCGGGAGCCAGCCTGCCTGCCTGCCCAGGCACCGCCTGCACCCTCCGGACCCGGCACGTCCAGTCACCGCGCTGGCACGTCCTGCTGCTCCTCGCATTCCTCCCCTGCTGCAGCATTTCAGCAGCAGAACAGCCCCGGTGGAGCAGGGCGGCAGGACAGGCTGCTGGGGTTTACAGCTATTGAGAAACACCCACATTTAAACCTTTTGAAGGACAGATTTACTCCTCATTYTAAAAGCTCAGCCTTGAGCCAGAACTGACCTTCTGAAAGAGCCGGACAAACCCCTCTTTATTCAGAGTGAGTAAAGCCCCTGTAAAACAGCCTCTCCTTGGAGTGTTTGCTCAGGGCAAGGCGAGCCTGGAGCCTGAGCCGAGGGAAGGACAGGGGAGGGACAGGGGAGGGACAGGGGAGGCTGCCCGGGGCTGCACATCGGAGCCAACCCACTGCCCGTGCCTGCAGCATCCACTGCCCCACCTCACCCTTCCACAGCCAGATCCACGCTTTGCTCCTCGCTTCCCCAAACCCACATCACTATAAAACCGGCCCCAGCAAACCCACAGGCAGCTGGCAGTGCTGGATGGGGCAGGAGCCTGGGGCAGGACCCTTTCCCTCCCTYGGACACTGCTCATGGCCACTCCTGGGGCCGGGCATCCCAATCCACCCCAGCCAGCAGAGACACCTCGGATCGGGTGAAAATCCAGCCTGGATAATCCCAACCTGCAAAGGAAAGGGGATCAGGAGCCTTTCCGTGACCCACACTGCAGATTGAGAGTGCTCAGGAGCACCTGCTCAGCTCCTCCCACAGCAAATCCATCCCTGCCAAAGGCTGAGCTGCGTTAACGAGGCCATTAATTAACCAGCCAGGGCCCAGGCTGGGCTTGGGGTGCCTCAGTGCTGCTCAGGCCTCCTTGTTAGCCCTGTCAGGTTCTGTGTTGGTGTCCTCGGGATCACCCCAAGCTGCAGGAGGGACCAGCCTGGGTGGGTACGGAGGTCTCTGGTGACAAACAGCCCCTTCCTGCAGCGTGGAGCTCCTCAGTCCAGCTGAGATGCCTTCAGCTTCCCGACTGCTGGGCAGGAAGGGCTCTGCTGTCAGGGGAAACACAGGGGACACCCACAGCGGGGTTTGGGGGAAACACAGGGGACACCCACAGCAGGGTTTTGGGCTCCTTGCCCTAGTGCTTGGCCTCCAGAGAACAACACAACTCAACTCACCTGGCTTTCCCCTCCAGCCCAAGCAGAGAAGAGGAGGAGCTCTCCTGGCACACAGCAGTCTCGCTGGCAGGAGCAGCTCCGTTTAGCTCAGCCCAGATAAAATGGAATGGGACAGAGATGAAACAGGATGAACACTGGAGGAATTAGAGGAACAATCACAGAGCTCCTCAGCTTTAACATCAAACCRGAATTAATTACTTTCTTGTGTGACTTCTCTTGGCTCTGCTTCCTTTTCTTGGGGCTTCTCACTTGTTTCCTGTGAAGTGCCTAAGCTGAAATATGGCTTGTATGGCAAAAACTTATTTTCAATTATTTTATCAGCCAGAAAGAAGGATGAAACATTCTTCCAAAATTTTTGCTTACCATTAAAATAAATGTTTTTTTCCTACTAAAGTCAGTTTCACCAGACTATTTCAACTGGTCCTACCAAAAACTCAATCAAAGATATCCCTCGCAGTGTGTGGGACAGCCCAGCCCAGCCCAGCTGCCCGGCAGGTACCTGCCCTCCATCTCCTCGGCTGCCACCGTGGGGCAGCAAGGGCTGCAGGCCAGCCAACACCATTCAGCACCTCAAGAAGGACGGTCCGTGTCCAAAGCATCCCTGAGCGTGTTGGATGCCCCAGAGGGAGCAGACAGGGGGCAAGGAAGGGACACTCCGCTGCAGCCCAGGGGACGCGGTCAAATTCCCTCGTCCCGTGGCCACCGGCTGCCCCGAAGCCCTCCCTGGCGGGGCCGGGGGCTGCTGACCATTTCTCTGCTGGTTATTAGATTGTTCACGGCTCTCAGGTTTGTTTGAATAAGCCCCTTTGTTCGGCGGCGCTTTCCCACGTCCCTCGGTTCGCTCGGCAGTCGCGTGTCCCGAGTCAAAGAGGAGCCCTGGCCGCCRGTCCCCAAAGAAAGTTTTCTTCGGAGCAAGACATCTGCGTCGGAGGGAACCTGCCAACATCTGCCACACTTTCCTCCTTTTCAAGGGCCTTTCTTTCTCTCTTAAAAAGTGCAGGAACAGATGTTAAAAGTTGTTTTCTTTCTCCCGGGTGTGAAATGTAGACAAATAGCAAAAAAAGAAAACTCTAAGCAGTGCTCACCCCTTTTTCTTTCCTTTTTTTTTGGTTTTTTTTGGAAAGCCGAGGAAAAAAAGGAGGCTTTGTTTACAACGGAGAATCCCCTTTTCAGTGAAACCTGGCAGTAGCGACGCAAAAGGAAAGCGGGAATTTGCAGAAAGCTCCTGTAATGCTCATTTGCATTGGGCTGTTGGGTCCCTACAATCCCCGGCACAGATGTCAGCCTTCCCCAAAGCCAGGGCAGCTCTCCCGCCCGCACCCCCCGCCTCCCAAAGAAAGGCTCTTGCCGTGACTGAGAGGTGTAAAATAACTGTTTACAGCCAAAGCTGCTCCTCTTTTTCACCGCGGCGCTGTCTTACAAATGAACCTTGAAATGAGCTCACCCGGAGCAGATGCCCGTGGGCAAGCCAAGGGGCTCGCCCTGCCGGGAACGGGGCTCTACATGGGCTGGGCACAGGCTGGGCACCCGCGGCCACCCCGCTGCTCTTGGCCTCCCCTCCCCGCCGGCTGTCCCCGGGACCCGCAGCCTTGTCACCAGCTCGCTCCATGGTGTCGTGGGACAGCCCTGTCACCCGGAGCTGGGTGGCGGCTCGCAGGACAAAGGAGGCAGCAGGGAGGGGGAGGCAGAGGCAGCGAGTGGAGGTCAGGGAAGGGAGAGAGGCTGAGGAAGGAGGTGCTGCCTCTACAGACAGCTGAGAGATCGTTCCTGGAGTGCTGAGCCTGACCAGCCCCCAGGGCCGCTAACATGGGGGGCACACACCGCACCTGCAGCAGTGCCAACAGGCACAGGACACTCTCTGTGCAGCTTTTGGGAAATTCTGAATTTGCTGGCACCTCTGCCGTGCTCAGCTGGGCCAGGAGCTGAAGTGATGTCAGGCTTCCTCCTGCTGCCCTGGGTGCCTTGGGAAGGTGCTGCTCTCTGTTCAAGGTGGAGGGAGATGGGCAGAAAACTGCCCAGAGCCAGGGGTGTGATCTGTGCCCCCTGCCCCAGCCCACCCRCACCGAGCTGCTGGAGTCATGTGGCCATAGAGATGCCTCAGGTTCACCTTTTATAAATACCAGCAACAATCTGCTTTCCGGGAGGACTGGAAATAGCTTGGAAAACCAAAGGAGCATTCACCAGTGAGCATTTGGGGCTGGCTGATGTGGGGGGCTCCTCCATGGGGTGGTGGGGTCTCATTTTGCTGTGTCAGAAAACACACCTGGGATAAGAATCCCACCCCTGCTCCCTTCACCTGGCACAAAGGACAAGTGATTAACCTTCCCCTCCCAGCACAACAACCACAGCAGCTCRTCCCAGGCCCTTGCCAAGTAGGGCGCTTATAAAACCAAGAAACTGCACCCCAGCTCTGCATGTGACTGACAAACAGCCTCTGCCTGCCAGATTCCACGGCTGGGGACATGTTTTCCTGATGAGCCCGGGCCGCAGGGCGTGCAGACGTGCTGCAGGTATGTTTGCACTGACACGGAGCAAACACACACCCACCCACACGGCGCTTGAGCAAGGGACAACGTGATGTCCTCGCTGTTATCACCGGGGTCCATCCCCACCCAGAGGGCTCTGCAGCCACAACACCACCCCAGGAGCTGGGAAATCCCTGCAGGGCTTCTGAACCGCTGCAGCTGCTTCCTCTCCACTTCARTAAGGTGACACATTCGACACCAACCCAAAGGGCTTCACCTGTGGGACTCAACAGGACGCTGCCAAATCCTGCTCATTAGCAAAGAACCATCAGAAAGCAAATGCAAGGTCATGAAAAACACCTTCATATTCTCCCCCAAACCAGGCAGAAGTGAGGAAATACAAGAGTGCGTTCTCACCCCACACCAAGCCTCCTCAAAAGGCCCCTCTTCTCCTACACCAGCGTTCCAGAGGAGTGAACAGGCAAAACCCCTTCCTCACAAAGCCACCCAAGCCTTGCGGCATGGGGGGAAAAAATCAAAGAAGTTAAGCTCCCACAGGACTAACTCACCTCTAGGCTCGTTTGCTTCTTCAATACCCTGTAAATGTAAGATTAAATTCTACAGAGCAGCCAAAAACTAGAAGAGTTACATATTTCCTACATACACCCAGGTGCAGCAGATAATTCAGATTCCCAAGGGGTAAATAAAGTTCCCATGTTTTCCCTAGAGGATTTCTGTGATGGAAACAACCTTCCTACGGGTGTCTGCTGTCAACAGCTTTTAATCGATCATCATATCCTGGTAATAATAATCCCTGGGAGCAGGAACTCCTGGCTGAAGTACTCTATTATTAAATTAAGAGGCTGTTTCAAAGATGTGAAATGACTGGGGTCAGGCTAGCAGGTAAAAACAGGCATCTCTTCAAGGAGATAGAGGAGAAAAAGATGAGTAGAAGGCATTTTCCCAGGTGTAACTCAACCGCTTCCCGGCTATTGTTTCCCTCCCTGGGAATCTGTGCAAATTGAACGAGGAGCCGYGCAAGCTGCTCAGAGCGCGCCCATTTTCCTTCCCTTCTTCCCTAACAAAAGATCCCTCCAAAGCCCAGCGTCGGAGGCTGGACATCTGTCGCCGTTTGGGGGGGCCGGCGTGGTCATTGAAAAGAAGCAGTGACCTGTCAGCTTTGATTGATGGCCACAAACCTCCGGGCTCGACCCCTCGTGTGGGAAAAGAAGTCCCGCCAAGGAAAAGTCGCCTTTCACATGCTAATTCGGGGTTATAAATACAGCCGAGGAGCAGCSGAGCAGCAAGGAGCCCCTGGGGAAAGGGAGCGAGCCGCTGCCTCCGTGCCATCGCGTCCTGGCGGAGCGGCCCGGCTGCCTGGAAGGATGACCACCGCCGGCAGCGCGCACAAGGGCAGCAGCAAGGAGGAGAGGAAGGTGGGTGATCCCTGCACTGCTGCACCGGCATGGCAATGAGGGCTGCGTCCAGGACAGGGAAAGGGGCAGGGCTTTTCCTCGTATCAGARAAATTCCTCTGAATTTAGCTCATGCGGGTGGTTTTCTGCTTCCTTTCGATGCTTTCTCTTTGATTTGATTGGGTGAACTCTGTTTAAAAGGAGTGGAATGGGAGGATGGAGAGGTGATGCTATCCCAGGGACAGGCCATGGCTAGAGCTGGCACATGCTCATCCTGTCCCTGCTAAGCACTGTGTCACCCTGAGCTGGCTTCACACAGCGGAGGGGGGCTCTCTGGCCTTGCTGAAATTAAAATACCAACTGCAATTTTCCTGCTCCTTTTCTTTGCCAGCTGAGGAAACCCCTCATTGAGCGGAAGCGGAGGGAAAGGATTAATAACTGCTTAGACCAGCTGAAGGAGACTGTTGTGGGTGCGTTTCACCTGGATGTAAGTGCTCGATTTGTGCTGCTTTGTGTCCTTTAGCCGGTGGGAAATTGGTTGGGGGGCAGGGGAAATACCTGATCTTTAGAGAAACCGKGCAAACTCTTCCTTGCATCCAACTGCTGCGCTCTTTCCTTATCAGCAGTCTAAACTGGAAAAAGCAGACATCCTGGAAATGACAGTGAAGCACCTGCAGAACATCCAGAGCAGCAAGATGATGGGTGAGTRCCCGCTCCCTTAGGCTGTGCCTTGTCCCTTGCCCTGCTCCCAGCAGGTTGGATCCTCTGGCAGCCYGGCACAAGCATCTCTCACACGGGCCGAGTCCAGGCTGCTGCCGGGGCTTGGCTTTCTCCACTAGATGGGGAGATGGAGCCGGGCAATCCGCGGAAGGTGTTCTTTCCTTCCACAGCCGATTTCTGCTTTTTGGTGTAGTTTTGCCCTGGCGGCAGGCAGCGGGGCAGAGGGTCTCCCACCCTATTTACCTCTCCCCTGCAAACAAAGCATCTTCTCGTCAAACCCAGTGGCTCCAGCAGTGCCTCCCCGGGAAGCCCCCAGCAGGAACACCTCGGTCAGCTCTTTCTCACTCACCAACCCCCCTTTGTCTCCTGTCCCGTGCAGCTGACTCCAAAGTGGGTCTGGAAGCCCAGCAGAGRTACAGCACCGGCTACATCCAGTGCATGCACGAGGTGCACAACCTCCTGCTCACCTGCGAGTGGATGGACAAGACCCTGGGGGCGCGCCTCTTGAACCACCTGCTGAAATCCTTGCCCAGGTCTGGTGAAGACGCCTGCAAAGCAGCACTGCGGTCTCTGAGCCCGTCCCAGCAGCCTCTCTTGACGCAAAAAAGTCCCCTGAGCCCTAAGGGGAGCACTCGAGGCACGAACCTGTCACAGGAGCGCCTCTACCCTGCGGARAACAAGCAAGCTTCCAAAAATTCCTTCCAGCTGCCCTCGCTGTCGGTTTTCAACCAGGTCGATGCTGCACCTCCCAGACAGGTTCTGCAGCCAAATTTTTCCCATAACAACCCCAGGATGGGCTCATTAGATATGTGGAGACCTTGGTAAAGTGTTTTCAATTTTTGTCCTAACCTTAGACACTCTTACGTATGTATCTTATAGATATGTTTCTTTAAAACACTTGTGGAACAGATCTGTTCCTGTAGGTGTACTAAAGACCAGGGTACTTCAAGCCGAAGTAAACCTATTTGTAGCCTGCATTGTAGAAGGCTGCTATTATTTTTTTATTTATTTAATACATCTAAGTTATTGTATAGAATCCTCTCATGCTCRTTAGTGTACATTAATTATATAGTTTTCTTGCCTTATGTTCTAAAATAATTAACTTCCTATTAATAAAAATATAAAACAAGCAACGACCCTTTCTGGCATCAAATTTACCTCTCAGATCTCGCATAAGCCATTGAGATCCCTTTGTTGGATAAAAGGGTAAGGGACTGATCTCTTCTGCTTTTTATTTTTTTATTATTATTCCTGTGCAGTGTAGGATATTCTAGTCTTGAGTCCTGTAAAAATGCTGCAGTGACTAAGAAAAAAAGAGAAAGAGAAAAGGAAAGACTCAGTCTGGACTTTTTCGGCTGTTTAGAAATGCTCTCTGGATTGCTCACTCTGGCTGTGCTGTTCCCAGCCACCCAGACATCCTCACATTGCTCTTAAACTTTTGAGTACATGTGTGTGTGTGTGTATATATATATATATATGTTACATATAGTTATATTTAGGGAATTTTCTTTGTTTGTTTCCATAACTAAAAGTTCTAAATAAACCTTTTGAAGATAACGACTGACATTTCTCCCAGCCTTGCCCCATGTGCTCCGAATAAACAGCGTTTGAGCATCTGCTTTTGCTTTTTTCTTTCACAGTTTTTCCTCAGTGCAGTTGAAAGAGCCGGTTTGGGGTTTRCCGCTGATATTTGGTAGGAAAGCAGTGCACACCACACACACAGGCAGCACTGCCTGGATCACAGGAACACTTWAAAAGTTACGAGAGAAATAGGGAGTTGGGTTTATCAGCCTGGATCGATGCTTTGGCTGTTTCTTATCAGCGAATCACAAAGATYATCTAAAGGGCAGAAAGTAGAATTCCCTGCAAAATGGACCAAGGAGATTGGGACAAATCTGCTCGGCTCGCTGGCAACATTTGGTGGCAGTTTTTCATCTCAAAGGCAGTTAAAAGTTCCTCAGAGCAGAAATAAAAGAGTGGGGAGCTCTTAAACAAACACGGCGCATACTAATGAATGGCCCCGCAGTTCAGAGGGGCTCATTATGCAGCGAGATCCATTTGATGAGGTGCCGAAGGAGTGAAAACCGGCACCTCCGGGCTTAGCATCTTTTTCTGTGAGGCTTTCCCTTTCATCCAGCTCTCTCGAAGAGCCATTAGGAGCGGTGGCATAAGGGYGGCAGGAGAAACAACTGGCCCGCACATGGCTGCGAGGAGGCAGGGCGGGTTCCTTCAGCCGTGGGGTCAGATGTCAGGCAAAGACACAGAACTGCACGGATCTTACCGCAACATCACTTTCCACCCTCTGCCTGAAAATTTAGACGTCTCTTTTTAGTGGTGGGATCCTTTGGAGTGATCATCAGTGTGGAAAACACTCATCATCATTCCATTGCAAAGATCCAGGGGAGGATGGGAGCTGTGGCCACCCCAAACAAACCACGGCAGCGAAACACACGGAATACTTATGGGTAGAGAAACCAATCAGGCAAAGAAAACKGCAAAATCCTGGGAAAGAAAAGACCTTAAAGACCTTCCCCGTTCACTATCACACATTCTGCTGAGTTTAGATAAAAATTCTATCCTGTAAAAGCCCCCACAGCTGCAGCCAGCACGGGAACCTCCACTGCACACCAGGCAAGGAGAGCAGCTCCCTACCCCAAATTTGGGCTTGAAGTGTTCTTTTACTTCTAGATTGTGTCAGTAATGCATCTCATGACACTCGTGGCCACCTTATCGTTATGCTGGGAGAGGCTGTGATGAAAATATTTTCCTACAGTTTGACAGCATCAACTTAAAAACATACATTCCCTCTAAAAGCTGTAAATCCCTAGTGACTATAATTATTAGCTATGGTTACTGTGCTGAAAAGAGATCAGTGGGAAATAGATATTTCCCACTATCTCTGCTTGTTTATTTTGCATCTTTGAAAATACTTTGTGGTTAGTGAGTTTTATTATTTCCTGTTTCTAATCAGCAAGGGCTTTTTTTCTGTTGTGGGTGTGTAGGAAGRGTCACATCACAGCTGGTGAGAGAGTTTTAAAAATAGAAAAGTGAGACTACAACAATCTGGCCAACAATCTCCAGTACGAGTTTCAGTACAAGACACTCATTTTTCATTGCCTTCATTTCAAACCAAGGGTGAGTTTTTATATGATCTCCTTGTCCCGTATCCAAACCGTACTGCAGGAATCCATTGCCAGTCACTAGTTTTCARTTTAAAAAAAATGTTTCTTTAGAAAGACACAGGATTACTCATAGCACTTCAAATAAATGAATTTCAGCTTCTAATTCTGTTTAACAAAGGGATATTTACTTCAATCCCATCTGGTTTTACTGAAGCCAGGACTGTACTAGAGCAATAATATTGGCTCTTTAGTACAAGAACCTCTCCACAGACAACCCAAAAATACATTGGCTGGGGAGAAGATGGCAGCAGCTGGCAAAGGGATAGAGCAGCTCCCCCAGCAGCTGGCCAGTGCAGAGTGGGGAGCACAGTCCCTGTGAGCTGGTGACTGAAGCTGCTCCTCCCTCAGGCTCTGGACACTGCAGCAGAGCCCAGACAGATGCTGCTTTCATACAGGCACCAGTGGCCCTGGACCACCAGAGGTGCTGCAGCACAGCCCTGAGATCCATCCCCAACACCCAGATGAGCGCCTTGCAGGCTGCACCCCATTCCCAGCCGGGACTGCATTCCCAAGGCACAGACAGCAGCACCTCATTCCCAAAGTACAGAGAGCAGCACCTCATTCCCAAGCACAAGAAAGCGGCCAACACAAGCACCCAGAGCAGATTCCTTGGGCCAGGCACAGCTGGACAGACCTGTCTGCTGGAAGCAGTCACAAGGTGCCCCACATCTCCCCAGCGCAGGCAGGGCTGGGACAGCTCAGTGCAGGTCTGGGCTCTGTTTGTCCCCTCCCAAAGCGCTGCTCCAGACGTGTCTGTGTGAAGGGAGCATTAAAAAGGTCGATTGTTGTGTGATCGGGGATGTGGGGAAGGCTGGACCCGACGCTCAGCACCCTCACATGCCTTCAATACAAAGCAATTACTGATTTTTTACAGCACCTTAAGCCCAGGTGCTGTAAAACTTTATACAAACTTCACTCCCATACCTGCTCTCACGGAAACCAAGAAGAAAACTCTCACTCATTTCTCAGAAAACAGGACCAAATCCTTTCCCCCTAGGAAAGTACAGAGGTTCRTGGGTATGTAAGAGGAACTGGGGCCCTGCCACGCTGTCTTCTCCCAGACACACACAACCCTTGGGGCCTCAGAGTGCCCCTGACTTTTCCTTTACTCCTCCTCCTGCCCTGGGGATCCCACAGCCACTCTCAGTAACAAGGCCAAAATGCTTTAGGGATTTAGGAGGGATGCTGAGCCCCTGCACATCACTGCCTGAGAGGGCTGAGCACAGCATATAGAAAGAGAACATGAGCTAAATTTTCAGTCGACCTCTTTGTTGAAGGCTCACCTTGGCACAAAGGAGACTCTGTGGTGCCAGTGTGACCTCTCCAGAGGGCGTGGAGGGGTTCCTGATCCTCTGCACTCTTGAGCCAAGTGGCCTTGCAAAACTCCATGCTAAAGCAATTCAAATCTTTTCTAACTCATTTGAACCACACTGCCATGGCTGTGAGTGCTTGCAGATCACTGGCAGAAGTGTTCCTCTTGGGAGGAAAGTGGAAACCAACCCACCACCAGCAGAACACCAAAGACTTCCCCTTCCCTTTATATTTGCCATGATCCTACAGCTTCCAGCGTATGGATTCCTGTCTTTAGAGGGACACGCTCACATTTCATCTCAGGAGAAGCAATGTTGTGTTGTCACATTGTTGTCACAAAGTCTGTCACATTTTTGGGAGCTTTCACATACTCATGAATAATGCAGCAGAAGCTGAAGCCAGCCCTGGATCTGTCCTGCACTGCTGAGATATTTCATCTGTAAGTCAAAGTCCTGGTGAGAACATGGCTTGAGGCATCACCACGGACCTACCAGAGCCTGGGAACACTTTGCTCTGAGACTCTCCTATGGTTCCTGCATTAGGCAGCATAAATTGCATGAAACCTACTACGTATTTGCAATTAAAAAGCATGTTAAAACATTTTCATCAAGTTTTCCACGGCTAACAACACCAAGCAAACGGACAATCAATCCCACATCTGCTGCCACAAAGAGATTGGGTCCTCTAGAAGCAGCTCAAAGGGCTCTCCTTCAGGGCTGGAGGATTGTCTGCTCTGCTCTGCAAAACAGCAAATGCCATGGAGGGGAAATAGGAATAACACCTCCTTTCCAGGGTCCCCTCCCAAGGAGGCTGGGGGAGATGGCAGTGCAGGGGCTTAGTGGCTGCTGCTCAGCAGGGAATGACTGGCTGGGGTAAGAGAAGGGATGGAGAAACCACTGCCAAGCTGGCCCTTCCTTCACTCGGAGCTCCCCCAAACCCCCTCCTCTCTGTCTGGCCTCCTCCTCCTTGACAGCAGCAGGAGTGTGCTGTAGGACAGCTTCTCACTCAGGTTGGCATAACCTAGAAGTGGATAAGCAGCAGCCCCAGAAACATCTTGCCATGTGCGTACACACTGCTCAAGCTGTTTCTTTTCCACACAGTTCAGAAGAGCAAATGTTGGGCAGGATGGTGAAGTGAGGCAGGGGAGCCATGGCTGAGCTCCTTGGGGCACAGCAGCTCCAAAAACAAGGGCAGAGCATTCCTGTGTAGGAGTTGGGACTTTCCTGGCTCCATCTGGGACTGTGCAGAGAAACCACTGAGGAGCAGCCACATTACCTCAAACCTCTGTGTCCCCTGCCCTACCCTCATCAGCCCACATGGGTATGAAAGTACAAAGCAAAGC